CGAGCACTACTAGGAGAGACTAGAAATAATGGTCACAAGCTGGCAGAGGGTAGATTCAGACTGGACATCAGGAGGCGCTATTTCATGGTCAGGGCGGCTAGGATCTGGAACCAACTTCCAAGAGAAGTGGTGCTGGCTCCTACCCTGGGGGTCTTTAAGAGGAGGCTAGATGAACACCTTGCTGGGGTCGTTTGACCCCAGTACTCTTTCCTACCATGGCAGGGGGTCGGACTAGATGATCTACTCAGGTCCCTTCCAACCCTAGAAACTATGAAACTATGAAAACACAACAAAAATAATTTCAGATTTTCCACAACAGGACATTTCAGGAAAATATTGTTGAGGTGCATGATTTCAATCTTTTCTTAATATATTTGTCGATATATTAACAGCATTCTAAATGAAAAGTTATTGTGGAAAAAAATCACAGCTTTATACTACAGACGTGCTGACTGGAATGTCAACCTAATCATTTTTTCTTCACTTTTTTTCTCCCAAATTGAAATTTCATGGAGAATGACACATTCCCTTAGGTAGTTTTTGGTTCTGATGAAATACCTTTTCTGAGAGCAGAAGTTTCCCCTGTAAATTTTTTTACCAGCTCAGCTACATTTGTAACAAGCCATGGTCTTAATTTTCTGTTGTGCTCATCCTTGGGTTGGCATATATGCCAAAAGGAATTGGATATAAAAACAGAAATTATGATTTAGGGTAACTGCACTAGCTTTTCACTCATTTTTCCACTGATGAAAATGACTGCATAAAGTGCTGAGCTGTGGATAACTCAGTTCATTATTCAGATCAGACTGATCAACCAGTTCCAAGGGGAGGTATTTTTTTTCTCACTGTGTTAAATCACTGCCTTGCAACTTCCATGTATTTGATTATTTGTGCTCTACCTGAGGCCTGGGGCTATGCAGAGCATATTCTAGTAACAAAGAAGACATTCATGAGCATTCCTGCTGTCTTCCTTTAGCTTCTGTGGTCCAATGGAGACTACAAACACCCAGAAGGCTGAGCAGAACACAGAAGCACAGAGTTCCCTTGAACTACAAAATTCATCTTTTCACTGCATACATGTCAAGTTAGAAGAACATGAGCCTACAGACCTCAGCATCAAGGAGCTCATCCTGAAGAAAGCCAAAGAAGCCTGCAAGTGCAATCACCAAAGCATCATCACCTTCTTCTGCAAGCTGTTCCCAGTGCTGGAGTGGCTTCCCTGGTACCAAATCAAAGAGCAGTTGCTCGGGGATGTCATCTCTGGGTTCATGGTGGCAATAGTTGCCATCCCACAGTCAATATCCTACTCCCTCTTAGCAAGCCAAGATCCTATCTATGGACTCTACACTAACTTCTTCTGCTGTATCATTTACTTTGCTATGGCCACCTCCCACCACAACAGTGTTGGCTCCTTTGGTGTCCTGTGCCTGATGATTGGGCAGTCGGTGAACCGGCAACTTCAGCTAGCAGGGTATGGTGAAGATGATGCTGAGTTTGCCCTGCAAATGAATTCCACATTCTCTAGCAATGGGACGGCCACCTGTGAGAAAAGCTGCTATGCGATCACGGTGGGACTTTCTTTAAGTTTCCTTGTTGGTCTTTACCAGGTAAAGCAGTTTCATTATGCTTATCTTTCTCTCCTGTGGTGTAGAGACTTGCTTAAAACACACACTTCTAAACTTCTAGCTCTTCAAAATACAGGTCTTGATTTAGATGATAGTTGGTAATAATGGTACTTACTCAGCTCCTTACTTTTTAAATGGTACAAACCAAAATGCTAAATCCAAGTACCTTTGATACCTGGCAATTTTTAAAAGCCATAATCTAGTTCTGAATTTTGGTCAAGAATTTATTTTCCCACCAGATAATAGTCTGGATCCTTTAAGCTGAATGAAATGTACTAAACGAAGAATTTGAGAAGTGTGAGAAGATGGTTGTAAGCCATCTTTCCACTATACCAGTCCTGGACTTGACTTGGTTCTTGGCATAACTTCTTTAGGGAGCTCTGAATTACATGAGAATAACAGCTTCCTATGTATGATTTGTGCCAGCAGTGTTTCTTTGGCTATGGTATCCTCCAAGTCCATCTTTCCTGCTCTTGGCCTGCCCCTGACTTTCATTATCCTGAACAAAAATGAATGTTGTGTTTGGTTCATTGGTTTTATGCAATTTGGGGTATTTGTATGCTGTGTTGGGCTGCCTGAACAGAACAGTGCTGCCAAAAGGGGACCTAGGGATTTGGCTAATCCTTTGAATTTCCCTGTCAACTAACTGCAGTTATTTGCTATCAGGAGGGATCTTGTAGGCTGCTCTGTATTGTAGCCCCTGGACCCAGAGACCTACTCCAGTCCCCAGATTAGCTACTTCAAATAACAATCTGTTTTACAACGGCCTGATCTCGTGAATGCCCCGTCAATAAAATAGCCAATGTCTTTAGAATGAAAACTAATGGAAATGTGTCCTTGTTCTCTGCAGACTTTCACACAGGCACTAAGAGTAAAACTGGCTTTTTTTCAGATCCTTCTGGGTGTTTTCCAGCTGGGCTTCATTGCTGTGTACCTGTCAGAACCGCTCCTGAGTGGCTTTGTGACTGGCTCCTCCCTGACTATTCTTACCTCTCAGATGAAGTATCTCCTAGGGTTGAAAATCCCTCGCCACGAAGGGATAGGGTCTCTTATCCTGACATGGGTGGACATCTTCAGATACATCCAGAACACCAACATCTGTGACCTGGTAACTAGCTTGATTGCTTTGGCTGTCATTGTGCCAATCAAAGAAATCAATGTCCGGTATAAGGACAGGATGAAGGCACCATTCCCCATAGAACTGGTGGTGGTCATTGTAGCCACTTTGTTTTCATATTACCTTAACTTTGAAGGGCAATATAATTCAGCTATTTGTGGGACCATCCCCACTGGCTTCAGGAAACCTACAGTACCAGATGTGCACCTTTTCTCCAACCTGGCAATTGATGCTTTGCCCATTGCCATAATTGGTTTTGCAATGACCGTCTCTCTAGCAGAAATCTTTGCCAAAAAGTACAGTTACGCTGTCCGGGCCAATCAAGAGATGATCGCTATTGGCATGTGCAACCTGGTCCCCTCTTTTTTTTACTCCTTTGCCAGTTCTGCAGCCTTGGCCAAAACTCTGCTTAAGGAATCCACAGGAAGCCATACACAGCTCTCAGGTCTGGTCACCTCAGCGGTGCTGCTGCTGGTGCTGCTATGGATTGCCCCACTCTTTTACTCACTGCAGACCTGCATCTTGGGGGTGGTCACCATTGTCAACCTTCGGGGGGGCTTGCTGAAGTTTGTGGACACTCCTAAGATGTGGCAGCTCAGCAAGGTGGACTCTGTGGTTTGGTGGGTCACCATGCTGGCCTCTTCACTCCTCTCCACAGAGATAGGACTCTTGGTAGGGGTCTGCTTTGCCCTCCTCTGCATTATTTTCCGCACCCAAAGGCCCAGAGCCACTCTCCTAGGCCAGGTCAGCAACACTGAAATCTATGAAGATCAGTTCACTTACAAGAAGCTCAGCAGCATTGCCAATATCAAGATCTTTAGGTTTGAATCCTCCCTTTACTATGCCAACAAGGACTACTTCAAGAGTGTGCTCTATCAGAAAACTGAAGTAAATCCTGCCATGGTCTCTGCCAAACAACGGAAAGCTGAAGCCAAAGCCAAAGCAACCATGGCCAACAGTAACAGCTGCTTCTCTGCCAGGTTTAGCTGCTTCAAGTCTGCCAAGAACGGAGTCCAGAAAACAGAGGTTCCTGTTCACTCCATAGGTATACACACCTTAATCATTGACTGTGGGGCCATGCAGTTCATTGACACAGTAGGACTTTCAGTGCTGAAGGAGACCCGTCAGGACTACAAGGAGGTTGGTATCCAGGTCCTGTTGTCCAATTGCAACCCGTCTATTCGGCGCCTGCTCCAGGATGGGGGCTGGACCAGCAAAACAGATGCTTGTGAGCACCTGGCTTTCCACAGTGTCCATGATGCTGTGCAATTTGCTGAGAGACAGTTTGAGGATAGCAAGGCAAAAGAGGCAGCTTTCCTTGACTCTGAAGTTCAGGACATCTTGGAGGACCCAAATTTCCCAGCTGATCTGTAGAAAGAGGGAGGATGATTGGTTCACTTTCAACAGGGATGCATTTAGTGCAAAGCTCAGACCTCTTTTTTAATCTTGTTATACTCAGAGTATGCAGAGCACCCCAAGGCAATGTTAGCAACAGGATGATGTCTGAAAGGGTTGGAGATTTAAGGAGAATGAACAAATGAATTGGGAGGGGCAGTGGGAAGGACCCCAAAGGCAATTACTAGGTGAAAGGCTGAAGTGGTACATCCTCCTTGCCTCAAGAGGGCACCTACACTGCAGGGGAGCATGAGCAAAGACATGGATATTTTTCAGTTGGGAGATGTAAAGGAAGAAGTGGCAGGATGCAGAGAGGACCTAAGACTGATGGGGACAGCCAGGAGAACAACCTATCAAATTTGTAAACTCCTCATTTGAATGTGGGGACTCTAGAGTAAGCCCCATCTCAAGGGCAGGGTAGCCATCATCAGACCACCTCAGGGGGAATTGTGACAGTGGGAGATGTAGATGCTTATTGTCACTTGAAGCAGATTTGACTCTGAAGGTGTGTATGTAGGGCAGGAGATTGAATGTGGAGGTGCATGAACACTTACAAGGAAGGGAATGGTAGAATAGCAGATAGATAAAAGTCTTTGATAGGACTCTCACTCTTTGAGGATCCTTGCATGGACAGATTTGACATCTGATCCCCTCCCTCAGCATGTGCTGCACTGAGGTCCAGTTAGCTCCAAAGCATCCTGTCCTTTTCTGTCTCCAGTGAGGGAGATCCCACAACCTCCCTTGGCAGTTTGATTGCAGTTCCAAATCACTCAACTTATGATCCAAGCATCTATAGCTTTATTGTTAGCTCTTCCTTCCTTGCTTTGCTTTCATCCTTCTCAGCTGAAAAGACAACCCCATTCCTGGCCTTGATAGGTCACAATAATGAGACATAGACCTGCACTGTGTTGGTATGGGAAGGATGGAGTGGTCTGAGGGAGCCTGGTCCAAAACAAATGACAACTCTGAATTAAACCTCATGCCTCAGAGCTTGCACCAATTTAATATTGAGGACAATGTGACTATTTGGAAGGGGAGGGAGCACTGATTATCCCACATCAGTCTCCTGCAGGGTTCTCACAGCATCCATCTATTCTCACACAGGACACTTGATTACATGGACCTTTGGTGAGACTTACTCTGGACGTTCCTATCTCAGTCTAAGGGATATTTGAAAAGAGTAGTAAAATGATCAAAGTAACATGGCTTGACATGGCAACTCCTGCTATTCATAATAAACTTTTTTTATAGTGTCTCCCCAAAGCACTTCTCACTGACCTTTCCCTCTTCTGTCATCTCCTTTAAGAAAATAAAGCAAACTAAATCTTAGCTTTGCCTTGGTATATTGGTCTCTGGTTCTGGTAGCTGATTGACAGCAGCTGCATGCTGGTCGCTAGAGGGCACAAGAATACTATGCATGGAGAACCATGAACATTGCGTTTCCCTCTCATTGTTTATGAGATTTCATGTATGATTTTGCTGGAAGTGACATTCCCGATGCCCAGGTGCTTTATTAAATAATCATATTCCCTCTCTGAGTTCAATTTACAAGTAATTGAATTCCGTTTATCTCTGGACTTTGGATTCAGCTACAGCACTGTGCTTTGATAAAAAGTAAGATCCTTTATGTACTAAAGACCGGATTACATTGTGAAGTAAGCACGGAAAAATGCGTACCCTTAACCACCACATTTTGAAGCCAAACAGCTGAGTGTTTCGGACACCTTGATATAAAAGGTGAGATCCTTTTAAGGAGCCTGTAACAGAACTGGGCCACAGGGGTGGCTCTGACACTGTGATGTTGAGCTCTATATCTCAACTCCTGCCTTCACTCTGGCTCCCTGAGTCCCCTTCCTTTTCCACTGCCTGCCACGCTTTGATATAATTTATTGATTGGTGAAAAGGGAGACTGCCCTATGGTCTCAAAGTGAACCTTCATCTGCTCTCCATTTGTGGGTTCCTCCTGAATCCTGCTGTCCTGCCCTCTGGTGTCAATATGGCCCCTGTGGCCTGGCCATGCCACTCCCCAGGGCACTAATTGCCTTAAGGGTTAATTTTATGGCCTCCAACCTCCCCTACAGCCATGTCCATGCCTCACAGGTTGCACCAATTAATTACTCTGGTGGGCACTTTATCCCAAGATAATATCTGGATTCCTCAGACCTCCATCTTCTCATTTAGTCTCTGCCTCTCTCAAGCTGCAGGCTCTCTCGGCTTCTCTCTCTGCCCCTCTTGGGCTGTGGTCTGATTAGCCTCTATAGTTTCTTCTTCTCTTGGGCTGTGGGCCCCAAGTCCTGTTTCCCCTTTTCTCTCACTCACTACAATCAAGCCCCTGTGTTCTAGCAGGGCTCAAGACAGCCATGTGGCCCTTGGGCACCACTGGGACCTCCAAACCTCCCCTATCATCCCAAATCCAGTCCACTGGTTAAAGCTCAAATGAAAAGCATAAGCACTTTTGCCATAACTAAGACTCTCAGCAAACTGGCTGTATAATAAACCTATACTCATCCTGGGTACCACATCCCTGCCTGCCCTCAGCTACTTGCTTGCTGTTCCCTGGCACAGCAGGATTCCAGGTATTAGCTCAGCCACAGCCAGTTTGCTGCAGCTACAGCCCTCTACCTGCACAGTTCTTCTCTCTGCAACTTCCAGAGCCAGACTGCCTGGTTTGCCCTTCCCTGCCTGCTCCCAGTCAGGTTCCTTGCTATCCCTGGCAAGGCTGCTCTCCTCTTATTCAGGCAGCTTGTTGCTGCTGCCCTGGCTACTATGGCCATGCCCCTTGCTTTGGCAGGGGCAAATCCTAGCTAACCACAAGTCCTATTGTGCTATTGCTGTGCAACTAGCACAGCCATAGTTCCTCTCAGCTTCTGGCCTGTGGCTGCCTATTTCTTTGCACCTAACCCTGGTTAGGCTGCCAGGGCACTGCCTGCTACTATTTTTTCCTGTTAAAGTAACAGGAGCCCCAGGCTCCCTGTGACAGAGCCATTGCCATGCTGGCGCAAACTTGAAGAGTTCAGCATGAACTGATGGCTCACTGGACACTGAGAAGCCAGAAAGCTAGAGGGACAGACAAGGCAAGGTAGTGGCCCCACCAGGAGTAATCCACCATTTACTAGCAATTCATGGTCAGTGAGTCTTACCTGGGGACCAACTTCTTGCCTGGGGGAGGTCATTGCTAAGCCAACAGAGTCTCAGCATCAGCCTCTGTTACAGCTGGTGCCTTGGCTGGGACATGCCCTGGCCAGCTCAGGAGAGCAAGCATTATGGAAGATGAGCTCCGAGGAGCAGCATCCAGCAAAACAGGGGCACAGGTGCAGGACTTATTGACATAGATATTCTAGGGCCAACAAAGGCAGATAGAGGAGTTGTTTTGGGGACGGAGAAAGAGCAAGCATCCCAAAGTACTTTGTCTGGGCAGCAGCAAACACTGAATGAAAAGCTGGAAAGTGGGAAGGGACAGGAGACTGGCCTATGGAAGGCTTTAGAATGCCTAAAATGGATAAGGAAGTTGCCCAGCTACTGGTCCCTTGAGAGTATACGAGGGACCTGATTCAACTCTCTACCCACAGGGGACCATTTAGGTTGAGACAAGATAGAAGCCCAGTTATTGAGCAGGCTTTTTTGACTAGGGATTTATAAAAAAGTTGACAAGTTTTGTGACACTTGTCCTATCAGTCAGAGGGTGTCCACGCTTCACCCAAAGTGGGTACCCTGGTATCCATGCCAGTGATAGGGAGAACCTTCAACAAGATCTCATTACATATAGCAGGGCCATTTCTAAAATGCAGTGTCAGGTACCAGTTATGTGCTTGTCATCATAGACTATGCCACCTGGTTTTCTGATGCAGTGCCCCTATGATGAGTCACCACCCCAAGATTGCAGCAGAATTGATGAAGTGGGCAGCACAGGTAGGCTTGCCTAAGGAAATCATAACTGACCAGGGAACAAATTTTATATCTGGGGTCATGAAAGGGCTCTGCAGGACTTTACAAATTAAACATTTAAGAACAGCTACCTATCACCCACAGACAGATGGTTTGGTGGAGAGGTTTAACAAGACCTTAAAGGGGATGTTGAGAGCTGCCATACAAGGGGACCCTAGAGATTGGGACCAATTACTTGCCCCTTCCTTATTTATGATATGAGAGATGCCACAGGCTTCAGTGGGGTTCTTCCTTTTGAATTAGTCTATGGGTACCAGCCTTGGGGTTTACTGGATGTAGCACAGGAGGGGTGAGAAGGCCAAGAAACCACAGTGATGGTACTTCCTAACCATCTGGTAAAACTACGAGAATGGTTACAAATAGTGTGACAACTAGCACAGGAAAATCTGAAAGAGGCTCAGGGATGCCAGAAAAAGGCATATGATCAGAGTGCAGAAGAAAGGGAGTTTGCAATGGGAGAGAAGGTCCTGATTTTGTTACCCAACCAGAATAGTAAGCTTTTAGCTCAATGTCAGAGACCCTGTGAGATCACCCAAAGAGTTGGACTGGTAGATTATGACGTTGTATGACCCAGACAAAAGCAGGAGAAACAAATATCATATGAATTTGCTGAAAGAATGGAAAGAACAGGAAGGCTGGATGATGGACCCAAACCCAGCCCCCTTAGAACTAGGCCCCCCAGTGGACAGAGACTTGAAGGTCCCAGGGGGAAGTGTTAATCCTTTCAGACTCAAGGGTGCAGTGTCTTATGCACAAGGTACTGATTTCCCATCAGAATTACGTGGAAGCCTATTAGGCAATGTTATAATTTTCCTAACTGTTGGCAGAGCCATCCAGAAGATCTTAGAGCAGTACTGAAAGATTTAAGGGTTACTGGGTTGACTGCCAACACCAAGAAATGTAGATTTAGGGTTACTGGGCTGACCACCAACCCCAGAAGATGACTTAACGCTTAGGTTTTATGATAGGACAGGGGCATGTCCACCCCATAATAGACAAAGCAGAGACCTTACAAACCAAAAACCAGATTAGGC